TTTGTTTTGTTTTGTTTTTTTCTTTTTTATAACAGACAGGAATACACACTACCACAATGGGACAGTTTCTTTTTATAAAGTTTTAACATTCCAATTACTAGATATACGAATGGTATAACTATTTATTTATAACACAACTATCACAGGTATCGTTTGAAATAGTTTACAAAAAAAAAAAAAGAAATAAAACCGCGAATGATATACGTTTTCTCTTAAACAATATGTGATACCAGTAACACCGTATAATAATATACATATAAACCTGTATTACGTATGAACGGTATAACATATGAAAGAGAGTCGTGTAATTTTTATTTTTTTTAAACCAATGCATTGTCCAAGAGATCCAACATTAATTCCACATAAGAATTTTGTACAAAATTTTTACATAAGTAATACGTGTATAATATACATATGTAATAACGATATGTGTTCTCTGTATATCGAAAGATTAATCTTTTGGTACTTTAACGAATGAAGAAGAAAAAGAAAAGAGACAGAAAAGTAAAATAGTTCTTCCTATGTATCGAACCTGTATATACGTCCCTACACACACACATACACATATATATCAGAAATCAGGATACTACAAAAGCACCTACAGTGTTCATGGCTTTTCGTTCGATTCAAACGAATCCTGTCTATGTGCTTCGTAAATGCTTCGTGAAAAACACCGATCGTTCGTTTCCTACTCCCCCTAAGCCCTCACTCACTCTTCCCCCAACCTCCTCCACCTCCTCCACCTCCTTTTCCCCATTCGATATCCCTTTTGTCTTTTATCAAATGTACCAGGATTTATCTCGATGCCAATAGTATTTAGTTATGTACTGCTATAGTAGAATGATTGCGTGCTAGCGTAATGGTATACAGGTGTACATTAAAGATGCATTAGTTTTCGATGGAGTGTGTGTATATATGTGTGTGTTTGAGAGAGAGAGAGACAGAGGAAATGAGTGTGTGTGTGTGTGTGTGTGTATGAGAAGAGAACGGTGATGGCACTCGACGGACAAGGCCGACGTTCCAATTTGATCCGTGGTGATATTCACCATAGAGAAGAACATAGATATAGTATATATCTATATATCTATATATATATATATATATATATATTATATATATGTATATTTTGCACTAGACTACGACGACGACGACGACGAAGCCGCGATGTCCGGAGACCCTGTTATACAGGAAATATAATTACATAGTACGAAACCCGTAAAGCTGCTGTATATATGCATGTATGCATTCACGTATATATGTATGTATTAATATTACCTTCTACTTGTACGAATAATTAACCTACGTTCAAATATATCCCTATAAGCGATACAAAATTACTGTAAAGCATCTCCCATTTACACCATATGTATATTTAGTATGTATGACGTATAAAATTAGATGTGTTCAACATTATTCATTCATTATATTTTATCGACAGATATTTCTTTTCAATTATTTTTGATGGGAGTATACAAATATTTTTAATCGTTCGAATCAGTATTTATATTTGTTCATTAATGTTATTGGAATAATTAAATGATTAGTATATCATTCATAATGAATTCATTTTATCGATCTTCTAAAGATACGAATAATGTTAGAAAATTTATGTCTATCGTTATCAGAAATATCACCAATAATACCGAACATATAACAGTCCCATAATATTACGACAAATGTAAAAAAAATCATACAGATATTAATTTGTCACGAATGAAAATAAAATGATAACAAAAATTTTTAGATAAATAATTAAAATTGATTTCATTTTGAAATCGCATTATTTAGTCACAATAACCATCATATATCATACAATCGTATTAGTTTCATTAAACATTGATATTATTTCGTAACTAATATTAATCTGACTATAATAGAACAAATTATTTCAAAGAAAATATTGATTTACTGTTAACGGTATGTTTTTTTTTTTTTTAATGAAAGAGAAGATATTATATTTTATTATAATATAAATACAATAATAATCATTTGAAAATATTCATGCGAATGATGATGTTGAAAAAATAATAATTCATAGAAGTAAAAAAAAAAAAAACAAAAAAAAAGAAAAAAATCTATACATGTACCTAACACATCGAATGTGAATGAAGAGGAATCATCATTAGTATCTTGTTTAGTATGATGATCAAGTTCCATTTTCATCAAAGTCGATAACCTACTCCTAGTGCCCATTGCCAGCTCGTTTGGCAAACTGCAAGCTTTAACGCGCCCGTTGCATTTAGTAATTGAATGGGCTACATCTCCTTTTGCACAAAACGGGCGCACATTTAGTAGTAGTACAATACGCTCCATCGGCGAGATCTTCTTCCCTATGCTATTATCTCGGAATCTCGTAGTACCGGTCTTTCTAAACGATACTCTCTACATAGTTCTGCATACTACTGAATATTCTATATAAAGTTGTTCTTAAATATTGAAGGCCACACACACACACCACCACCACCACCATTTTCGGAGATAACAATAGCCCAAATATGAGTTTATAGTATTCTATATTCCAGTTTCTTTTCTTCATATATACTCGATTCCTGTTTTTTTTTTTCTTTTTTTCTAAAATCTACAAAAACGAGTGCCTATTCATGTAATATCATTCCTCTCGAATATTTGTATTTCAAATTATTATATTAGTACAATTTATATTTATTTACATTCTATTTTTTATTTATCAATTTTTTTTCTAATTTATATTATATAATTTATATCACATTGTATGTTTATTTATTATATGTTTGTGTTTTTTGTTTCCTTCACATATTTGTAATAAGAATATTTTTATTTGTAATTATAATAATAATAATAAATCGAATATCAATAATTATAGATAAGAATTAAAATCATTAACAACGTTCGCAATAATTTGAAGATTTATTTGCTTCTTACAAAAAATATTATCATTTATCAATGAAATATTATTATATATTTTATAGAATAAAAATATAGTAACGATATATATATATATACTATAGTAGCAAATAATTAAATAAAGGCTAATAAAAAAAGAAAAAAAAATGGAAAAAACAAATCTCTGGATAATTCGGTATGCGACGTTCAAAGTCTAAGTTTTTATACAGGAGTTCGATAAAAAAAAGAAAAAAGAAATAAATTAAAAAGCTTCTTTTTCTTTTGCTCTTTTCGTTTAATGATATATCAAAACCAATTGATCATCAGTATGAACATACATACATATATACATACATACATACATACATACATGTTAGTAACAATTTCAAGTAAGAACGAGATGAGACTTAACGTTTGAAAGATTATGCAGATTTTACGATCAATAATCAGTGTCGGTTCACTCTCACGAACAAGAAAGAGGATCATATTACGTATATAACGAGATGCTGGTATATGCATTACCATAACCTTAAAGGTGGCTCTATTACGGCCGGTTATTACGAATAATCGCGTTAACTGCTTGCCGCGGACTGATTCTTCTCTCTCTCTCTCTCTCTCTTTCTTTTCCTTTACTTATTATTTTCCGATATTTCGTCGTTGTGCAAAAAAAAAAAAAGAACAAACAAGGAATAAGTATCAGCATACCCACCGATAGGTATATCAATTTTTTTTTTTTATTTCCTATAATTTATTGAACGTTCCTATAGTAGTACTTAATTGCATCGATCGTTGCAATAATAATAACAAGGACAAATCATAATAAAATTTCAACGAAACATTATTATTATTATTATTATTATGATTCAAAGACGAGACGAAGTATGAACATTTTTTTCTATTTTACAAAAATTAACAAAATAATAAAATTACACACGTGAGATGATATTGTAATCGGATTTTTATCGTTTGTTTAAATGTTATAAAGAAAAAAAAAACTGGATTAAATCGCGATTAAAGGAAAAAATAAAAAAAAAAAAAAAACAGTGGAAATCTTATGCGTTTTTCCCAGTCATCTCGGAAGTGAAAGGAGAGAGAAAGAGAGAGAAAGAGAGTAAAACAAAAAAAAATAGAAACTTATCGTTATTTAACCCGTATGCGGTTGTTCCGATCTGACTTTCAACGAGTAAAACTCTTTCCTATAGATAAATACAAACCATACATACACACACACACACATATATATATATATGAGTGGAAGAAAAAAAGGAAGACGCGGAAAACATTTGTCGACGTTTTCCAGAACGAGTATTTTCTCTAGCGAGATAACATTAAAAAAGTTTTCAAGGGGGGTTAACGACGACGATTTAACCCCTATATGTCGAAAAAGTCAAAAATATTCACGCCCGTTAAACACCCCGACATTCACCACCTCTTTCCCAATATGTGTGTATACGTGTGTGTGTGTGTGTTACGAACTCTGACGCACTTTTCTCACTTTTCGCGTAGGTGGAAAAAAAATTTTGCCCCCGTAAATAAAACTCCAACTCTCTCATACCTTTACCCATTGAAAATTTGTCCCAAATTGTATTTATTATATGTAATACGTTTTTCACATACACACGGTATTATACGTTGAAATATATATATATATATATTGTGGAATAATTTAATATTATTTAAATATAAATAAATTTTAAATTTTAATAATATTATAATTTTTTTAAATTATTATATATATATATATATAATAATTTATAAAAAATTAATATAAATAAATTAAATAAATATATTAATTTAAATATTGAAATTGTATGTTGAAATATATGTATGTAAATTATTTATACATTATATATATATATAGAAATTATTTTTTAATATTATAAATATTAATAATTAATATTATAAATAATTAAAAATGATAACGTTTGTCTTCGTTAATAACATTTGAAATTTTTAATAGTAAACTTTTATTCAAGATTAATCGGATAAAAAATTCGAGAAAACAAAGATCTTCTTCTCACACAAGCTAAACACACACAAACTTGTATCATGTAAACGAAATAGCCGCATATGTATATATGTATATATATTTGTTTTTTCAATATAATTAAGAACAAAATAAAAAAACCTTGACTTACTCTTATGCTTCGAACTGCTTTTCCATAAGCCTCTGAAGAACGACATCCCAGCGATTTAAAACGTCGAACCAAACTTTAATGCAAACTTTCTTCAACAAATCCGTAAATATAATAATAATGTCCTTTTTTTTTTCTTTTTTTTGTTAAAAAACCAACTTCCTTTTCTAAATATGTTTTTTCAACTTTTTTATATACATATATATATAAATGATAATATATACGTATATAAAAAAACAAAGAAAAAACCACAAATTGACTGATATCGAAAAAGTTCAAAAACACTCGCACGACAGTTATGGTGATGATGATCAATCAAAGGGAAAAAGGAATGGGAAAAAGAAGAAACAAAATGAAAAACAACCCCAAGAAAAGAAAAGAAAAGAAAAGAAAAGTAAAGAAAAGTAATCGAAACACACGCGAGTTTTACAAATGTTACCCCCTGTTTTTCTCGATTTGTTGTTTCTTTCGTATATTTCAAAAAAAAAAAATCTATATCCTTTTCCCCGTTATTTTCTTTTGCAATTTCACAGACGAGACGAGTGGAAAAAAAACAAAACAAAACACGTTGTTAACCATTATTACAATTAAAATATTAGAAGAAAAAAAAGAAACAAAACGAAGTACCTAAAGACAAAATGTTTTGATAAAAAGAGACAGAGGTTAAAAATAAAAAATAAAAAAACTGAATTGGGGGAGTGGGATGAATTTCAAAAAGAAAAAAAAAAAAAAATTCTCCAAAGTTTTGTACGTGTATTCGCGGTAATAGTTGATACGTGTTGCCTTGAAGGCGGTACGCCACGATATGAGAAATTCGCAGGCAGCAGCAACAGCAAGTACCAACAGCAGCAGCAGCAGCAGCAGCAACAGCAACAGCAGCAGCACGTCGTCGTCGTCCACTGGCGCGTCCTTCTCTGGCGCATCCAGTTTATTCCGCTCCCCTAACTGGTACATGCGCATATCTCGGTTCGCACACTTCCCAGAGATTCCGGTTCCGCTTCCTAACCGAATCCGGTCGAAAGGATAAAGATTACTTTTTTTCCTTTTTTTTTTTTTTTCGGGTTACGCTCTTCCGATTGTCAAACAAACGTTTATCCTTCCTTCGTCAACACGAAAATGAATTATGTTAATAATAATAATAATAATAATAATAATGCACTTTCACGTGATTCTGTTTATTTTAATTTCAATATGCAATTATGATATGTGGGTACATTAGTATATTCAATTTTTAAAATAATGTTAATAATAATAATAATAATAATACACTACCACGTGATTCTTTTTACTTTAATTTCAATATGCAATTATGATATGTGGATACATTGGTGCATTCAATTTTTGAAATACATATATATATATATATAGTATTATGTATTTTTTTAAAGTAGCCTAAATCCATTTTAATATATTTTTGTTGTTGTTGATTGTAATAATAGATACTAGATAAGTAATGTAATTATCTATCTAACTGTAGAAATGAAACATAAAAACATTTCGCTGAAAAAAGAATGCATTATTTCCTAAATATTATCATTTCTTTTATAATTTTGTAAAAGATTAATAATTCAAAATTGTTTCACGGATGTTTCAATCGAATAACTAAATATGTAAATGTTTATATTGCCATTGAAAGAGGAAAAAAGATTTCTTAGAAATAAAATAGGTCAAATTATCGATTTATATAGGTCAGTAGTAGTATAAGTAAATATAGACTAAAGTATTTACTTGTGTTTCCTTCTAACTTTTAAGTATTCGCTCGTATGAATGAAACATTTGTGTGTTAACCATGAGAGAGAGAGTATTTGAGAAAATATATTTTTAGCTCACCTCGACGTAGCAAAAAGAAATATTTTTCAAGAAATCGTATAAATACGTGAGCCAATTCTTATTCTTTAAATTTATACAAATTAATAATAATATTTTAATATATAAAACCATTTTGATTCTCACTCCCTTCAGTTGTAATTCAACATTTTATTACTTTAATTATGCATTATATTATGATCACACTAAAATCGATTAAAATATATATGTAACAAAATGATCAATGTTTATAAACAAAAATACCCCTATTGAAAATCTTCAACAGCAAACTATAGAACAATTTCAATACTTAGAAAATCTCTCTCTCTCTCTCTCTCTCTTATAGTAATATTTTCCCGATTTTTTTTTTTAGTTTTTTCGTATAAATGAAAACTTATCTTCTCTCTCAAGGGGACGAAAGTTTTCCACGATAAAAGCATACTTTGCGGAAAATGCACTGCATCACGCCGTTACTCGTTTTTCAGTATAACGCGCGTTATTAGAATACTTAAGGAAGGAGTTAGAACAAAATATCATCTTTTCCTACCAACCTTCCCTTACCCTTATCTTCCCATACCCATACCCATACACCCCTTCTACTTTACTCTCAACTAGTATCTTCTTCTATGGGAAGCTTTGCGAAGAAATTGATATGTAGACAACGTTTTCCTTAAGCCCACCTTCACCCCCACCTTCACCCCCACCCCCACCCCCGTCAGAGACTTGTCGTGAGTGGAAAGCTTTACCACCTAATTTCATGGGGAGATGCCCTTCCTTCCTTCCTTCCTTCCTTCCTTCCTTCCGTAAACTTCCTAGTAAAGTCGAACTTGGACGGATAATCTCGTAGAAGTTAACGATCTCTAAGTAAGAGAGAGAAAGAGAGTGAACAAGAGAGTGAGTAAGAGAATGAAAGAGAAAAGGGAAATAAAAAAGAACAGGTGAGGAAGGGGGGAATTAGTCTGATTCGATTTAACGGGACTTCCAGCTTCATTGGTGTCCCTCTCTCTCTCTCTCTCCCCCCCTCATTTTTTCTTTCTCTCTCTCTCTCTCTCTCTTTTGCTATTACCTCGACTTTCAAGTTGGGTGTACGAAGGACCGTGAATAAAAAAAATATGCAAACAACGTAAAGAGAGCCGAGCGTCCAACATAATTCGATGCAATTATCGTCGATCCAATTACGAAAGATGAAGAAATAAAAGTAGAAGAAGTAGTAGAAGTAGATAAAAAAAAAAAAATATGAAAACGTTTGTATAAGTTCCTTTTCAAACGATCTATAATCAACTACCTTTTACATCCTTCATTTTTTCTGTCTACCGACAGAAGAAAATATATATATATAACTTTAAAGATCCGATAAGACAAGATATTATTATAGATAATTATTATGACCGATAGTTTGAATATCTTTTGACAAAAAAAAAAAAAAGAAAAAGATAATAGACTAAGACGTTTCAGGATGATGAATCTCAGCGTTCGTTTTATCTCTCTTTTACCCTTCGTTTATTATTCAACGAGTAGGGGGTAAGGTATAAGAGGAGGGAACGGTAGGGTAGGTAGTTTAGCATCGTTGAAGGAGTCGATGGTAATTTATCGGATCGCGACCCTTTAAACCGATAGATAGATAGATAGATAGATAGACACAGTACTGTGACGAGAACGTCTTAAGGGTGAAAACGAGAGTCTAAAGTTTCGATCATCGAATTGTTCGATTATATGCTCTCGATGTTTTAAGCATTTTCGATTGGCTTTTAAAACTTTGTCTTACGTTAATTGCGATTGGTAATCGTCGAAACAATGTGAACGTTTGACACCAAAACAAGAAAGTATACAAATCATTTTTATCGATGTAATATAATAATATTGCAGAGTTGTCCAATCAAATTTAAATCAAAAATTAAAAAAAAAAAAAAAAAGAAAAAAACTTGTAATAATTATTCGCTAAATAAAAAATATAAAATGAAAATAAATGTCCTATCAATCATAGGAATTTATCAACGTTATAATCGAAAATGATGGTCAACAAAATATTATAATTATTAATTACAATGAAAAAATATTGGTAAGTGTATTAAAAAAAATTGATTTTACTATGAAAGATTTCATTTTTTTTTTTTTTTTTAAAAGATCTGATCTAACAATTAATTTATTCTTTACGAATTTTGGGAATTTTTCTAAATTCTTTTTTGTATATATTTATATATCTATAATCAATCGTAATACAAAAGGAATGTTCTGTGAAAGTGATATTAAACTAGGCTAAAAGTATGATAGCATTTCATCTCAAATAATATCATCAAAGTTAGGTCTCGACATCGACAAAGTTATAACAGACGAACGAATTTCGATCGAGTTTCTGAAACGTGAACGTCGTGTCGCATACAAACGCGTAAACTCGAGAGAACGTGAACGAACCATTTGAAGATATCTTGTATATATCTGCGTGTTACCTACAAACTTCGTTTGAAATAGATATTCAGATGTAACACCATGCGAATCATTTTTCTATCAATCGATTCATGTGATAACAATAATGTAATAAAATCATCAAAATAGTTAATAGATATACTATCACGTTTTTCATTTATTTAGAAAAATATGTACAGTTGAATATGACTGAATAATCGTACAGTTTACTACTTAAAATCTGACACGAAATAATAATAATACGATATGCATATCTTATTCGAATAAAATAAGATCAATTGAATATTCTTAAATGAAAAGTAAATAACATCACAGATTTGTTTTATACAAAACATTGTTCAATTTCTTAATTGACCAATTTGAAATGAACATTTTTACTTATTAATACATTCGTTTTGAATGACGCAAATAGACGGTCATTTGGATTCTTAATTTCAATAGGAATGACGTGTATACACTTCATTAACATATTTAACGATTTTGTTTGAAAATAAAAATGTATAAGTATACGATAACATAAGTAGTGAAATTTTCTGTTGAAAAGTGTCGCGCAACTGATATAAAATAAAATATCAAACAAGAATAAAAACATGGAAAAAGTAATACACAATATTAATCGAATATCGAAATATTAAATTTAATTTGATCTTTTTATTCTACCTTTTACAATCTCTCTCTCTCTCTCTCTCTCTCTCTGGAATTCACATAACGTGATTTTTGTCGTATTGTTTTTCTTTTAACCGTGTTCTACGATGTTTGACTTTACAATTTAGACAATCGACTGAATAACTATTGATTCAAAGTATACTATTGATCATTTTAATAAAATAATAAAATACTAAAAAAAAAAAAAATTGTTTTAAATTTCTAACGAAATAACGGAATAACCAAAACACGAAATTGCGACAAAATTTATCACGAATCTTCAAAG